CGGCTATTCTTCATTCACCTTGACGTTTCAGAATATCAAAACATTCCTTGTCTATACTTCCACATGCACACTCAAATACAGTCACACACTCACACATACTCACTTAGATACATACACTTTGAAATATACACACAGTGACAAACGTATATACATGCACATTTTGATAAAACATTCTCACTAGCACACTCCCTTCAAAGACACATGTCTATGTTAATAAATGCATTCATTCTTTGAAGACTAGTCACCTGTCACCTGGAAGCAAAGCTAAGCAATAAAACATGTCCTCCCAATACCGTGTCTTTGTGCTAAAAGCTAGTAAAAATTAGTTGATAAATGTGTGTCGGATGATCACTCTTTTTCTGTGTACATGACAGGGTTATTCAGTAAAGTAAGAATTCAAAGTGAATTTCAAAACTAAGGACAAAATAGCCAAACTGGAAAAAAAAAAAAATCTCTACGTTAGCTATTCAGTTTGGATACTCTCACCTTAAATTTGAAACTCACCTTGAATTTTCATTTTGGATAAAACCCTATGTATGTCTGTGTGAATGATTCTATAGCTTGATGTGAATGAATACGTTTTATTTCTGCTGTACAGAATGTTGTTAGCCAGTTTTGATTAAATTAATTAATTGCATTAAGATTTTATCAAGTTAGAAGTTTAATCTTTAAACATAAATATCATACAAGAAAGTGTAAAAATCCCAGTGTTTTATTTCCATCCCTAAGGTTCATAAGGATGTTAATAATTTTCCTGGGAGGCCAATTGTGGCAGGAATTGACGCAATCTCTCGCAGATTGTCACAATATATTGACACCCACCTGTAAGCTTTAGTATAAAATAGAAAATCTTATATAAATGATGCCATATCTGTAATAAACCTTTTGGAACAGTGTAAATGGAAAGAAAATTGCTTCTTAGTTACCTGTGACGTGACAGCACTTTATAGTAATATACCTCACAAGTACGGTTATGAAGCGGTTAAATATTTTTTATTAATTTTTCAGATTTATTTTAATTTCATAAAATGATTTCCTTTTTAGAAGGTATTTGTCTGATTGTGAACCACAATTTATTTTGGTTCAATGAAGAATTCTATTTACAGATTAAGGAAATGGCCATGGGTACCAAGTTTGCTCTCAGCTATGCCATCTTATTTATGGCATATTGGGAAAAGTCTTTTGTATTTAGCCAACATGGCTGGGAGGAAAACTTGGTCACATATGGCTGGTATATAGATGATATTTTTTATATGGAAAGAAGAGCAAGAAGATCTGAGGAATTGTTTTAATATTTTTGAATGAAAATACATGGGGTATTAAACTTACCAATATTTGGATTTAACAGGAACTGATATTTCTAGATTTAAATATTTTATTGAAGATGAGCATACTAAGACTAAAAATAATTTCAAAACAGTAGATGTCAATAGTTTTATAGAGAGAAAGTTGCCATTTTACACCATGGTTAAAGAATGCCCCCAAAGGACAATTCCTAATGATTAGACGCAATTGCCTGCAGGAGTAAAAGAAAAAATAAAGGTTTTACAACTAAAGAAGGAGAATACCCTATTAAAGATTTTATTACATGTTATTCAAAAATGTTACATATTTAATTCAATGTCCATGTAGTCTAAATTACCGTGGTAAAACTACCATAGCCTTACACATTAGGATAAAAGAGCACATTACGACTATCAAAGGTATTAAAAACCATAGTATGTCACTCCATTTCAAACAATGTCATAGTAGTGAACCTAGCGGTATTGTGTTCATGGGGTTGAAAAAAGTAAGTAAGGATTGGAGAGGAGGGAATTCTGATCTCAAGTTAAACAAAATAGAGATGCAATGGATTTTTAAATTAAATACCCTCATCCCTTATGGATTAAATTCTGATTTTAGAATGTGTAATTTTTAAGTTTAATCATGTATATTTCAAATTTTTTATATTTTTATTTAGTTTTTGGAAATATATATTTGTGCAAAATTGGGCTAGGATTTTTTTATATATATATTTTTAATATACACTTTTTAAATATATGCCCTCCTATCCTCTCTTTAAGAGTTATTGGAGAGGTTGGAATACATATAATTAATGTTTCTCTTTTGTTGTCTTTTGTGTGTTCATTTACATTATGTATATGGAGTTTTTATGGGACTGATAATCTATATATAAAAAGATACACTTGAATATGTAAGAAGTACATGTTGTTGAAGCGCAAGGTAAAATACTGCTGAAACCAATATGGCCGCTGGAATGCAAGAAAAGAGCTATAACTGAATATATGTCATGAACATATCAAAACCTGAATATGACGCAACAGCACTACAAATGGAAGAAGCTATTGCTTAGTAATTATCTCTTTTGTTAAGTGGGTATATATAGCAAGACTGGTCCATCAGGTATGGTCACTTACTTTTCACTCATCTGAGGAAGCCTAGGATTTAGCTGGTGAAATGTGTCCTGGAGACAGTGAGCTTATTATTGGACATTTGCCATTTAAGTGTTTGCTTTTTATAAACTTGTTTTATATTTCTTAGATTAATTAATAAATAGTAAGTTTGCTGACACTTATGGTCCCTCTAGTATGGGTGGGGTTGAGAAGTTAAGGTAGGCTAGACAGGTTGTGGTGGTAGGGACTCTATTATTAAGAGAGTAGATTGGGTCTCGGGTCCGGCATGTTGCCGACAAAGTGGAGGGATTATTGGGAGGGGCTGGGGATGACCCAGCTGTCATGGTCCATATTGGTACCAATGACAAAGTCAGAGGAAAATGGAAGGTCCTAAAGAATGAGTTCAGGGAAAAAGGAAGTAAAAAAAGGACTTTCCAGGTAATATTTTCAGAAATATTACCTGTGCCGCGTGCTACAGCAGAAAGGCAGCAGGAAATTAGAGCTGTCAATGCGTAACTGAACCTTTGGTGCAGGAAAAAGGGTTTGGGGTTCTTAGAGCACTGGGACGATTTTGCGCTTGGATACAACCTGTATAGTCATGATGGATTGCACCTAAATGGAAGAGGGTCTGCTGTGCTGGGGGATAGGATGGCTAGAAAGTTGGAGGAGATTTTAAACTAGTATTGGGAGGGAGGGAGGGTCAATGCAATCTATAAAATGGAGATAGGATAGAAAGGATGGGTTTAAGCACAGTATAATAGGGGTAGAGATGGAGGGGAGGGGAAAGTTTAGAAGAGAGGATGTATGTAATATTGATATAAATTCACAAAAAGTACAAATGACTCATGATAATATTAAATATATGCTTACAAATGCAAGGAGCCAATATAACAAAAATAGGGGAACTAGAGGCAAAAGCATACACTAAACAATATGATATAATAGGCATAACAGAAACATGGTTGGATCAGACACGTGACTGGGCAGTAAACGTAAATGGGTACCCGTTATTTGGGAAGGATAGGAAAAACAAGAAGGGTGGTGGGATATGTTTGTATGTCAACCATGAGTTAAATTCAAATCTTAGGCATGTGGAGTGTGACGTGAAAATATGGAAGCTTTATGGGTAGATATCTGCTTGGGGCAATTAAAGGGAAATCAATCATTGGTTGGGATATGTTATAAGTCACCTAATGTAAATATTAGTGAGGAGGAACAGCTGTTAAAGCAAATTGGGAAAGCTGCAAATCAGGGGTAACACATTAATTATTGGAGATTTTATTTACCCGGACATAAATTGGGATAGCGTGACGAGTACTTCAGTAAGAAGAATCAGGTTTTTGAATGTGTTAAATGACACCATGTCACAACTGGTACAAGCAGCACCAACTAGAAAGGATGCTTGTCTGGATCTCGTTATAACAAACAATGTTGATCTTTGACCAACAGTCAAGTAGGGGAACATTTGGGAAATAGTGATCACAATATGGTAATTTTTTTAATAAACGTAAAAAAGAAAAAGCACGCAGGGTATACTAAAATGTATAATTTAAAAAAAGCCAATTTCAATAAGATTAGGGTAGCTCTACAACATATTGACTGGCATAAACTCCTTAGTAAAACAAAAAATTAAGATAAATGGAAACTATTCAAACAAATATTAGAAAGGTACATTTCTCAGTATGTACCATTGGGTAATAAATATAAAAGAAACAAATTGAAACCAATGTGGCTTGGTAGAGAAGTAAAACAAGAGATTAAAAATAAGAAAAGGACATTTGAAGCATTTAAATCGGACAAATCAGAGGCATCCTATATAAGATATAAGGAAGCCAATAATGCTTGCAAAAAGGCAATGAAAGTGGCTAAACTAGAACATGAGAATTTGATAGCCAAATAATGCAAAACTAACCCCAAGTACATCAATTCTAAAAAATAAATAAAAATAAAAAAATGAAAGTGTAGGTACACTAGAAACAGAGATGGGTCTGTTAGCTAATGAAGACAAGGAAAAGGCAGACATTTTAAATAAACTATTTTTCATCAGTAAATTTGATCCTATGGCAAGATATATTTAAATGATTGCTGCAAAAAACTTTCAGATAACTTATGATTGGATGACTCGAGACAAGGTGCTACAGCAGTTAAAGAAAATTAATGTAAATAAAGCTCTGGGGCCTGACGGTATTCACCCACAAGTACTTAAGGAGCTAAGTGGGGAAATAAGTGAATCTCTGAATTTCATTTTTCAAGATTATTTTGTTTCAGGTATTGTACCAGAGGATTGGAGGAAGGCAGATGTTGTTCCTATATTTAAAAAGGGTTCAAAATCCTTGCCTGGAAATTATAGACCTGTGAGCTTAACGTCTGTGACTGGAAAAATATTTGAAGGGCTATTAAGGGATAATATTCAGGAATTCATTGGGAAGAACTTTGTTATTAGCAATAATCAGCATGAGTTTATGAAACATAGGTCATGTCAAACTAACCTATTTGCATTCTATGAAGAAGTATGTAGAAGTATAGATCAGGGTGTTGTAGTGGATGTGATCTACTTGGATTTTGCCAAGGCATTTGATATGGTTCCTCACAATAGGTTAGGATTCAAACTAAAAGAAATTGTACTATAATGCACATTTACTTTAATACTTTCATTAGGTTATTTACAGTTATATTGGATTTGGGGGGGCTGCCTCGAAGCAGCAGGCTGGGAGGAGATCTCTAATAGTTGGTTGGCAGTAGGGACGTACAGTGGGTAATTGCCTTAATTGTATTCCTGCAATTTGCCTTTTCTAACATTAAGTATAATTCTGTGCCTGCTATTTCCATATGTGATAATTGTTTCTATTTAACTGTTTGTAACCCTTGAGGGGGCTGGACATACTGCATAAACTTTGCTATCTAATTAAGAATTACAGACACTGTTTTAGGAACCGCCTTTTATATATGATTAAATTAGGGTTCTTCTTTCTTATCCTAAAATAGCTTATTTTTGACACATGGAGGTGTGACAT